GATAGATAGATAGATAGATAGACAGACTTTATTGTCTGTCCCAAAGGTGACAGAAAATTGTCTTTGACAGGGCTCCATGTTAAAAATATTGTTACTTAGCATGTAAATACTAAGTAACTGCATGGTAATTAGGAGACTGTAAAAGAAAGGGTTACCTTTATTTCTTTCAATAAAACTGAAAACATATTTGGTATGCCTGAGTTCTACAATACACATTTCTGCAAGTTGAGGCATCAAAGAAACTAACACGCATCACCCTAAAACAAACCTTCATAAGAACAAGATTTTACTGCAGCATTAGATGGCTTTAGCTCTACTTAACTAACTTGCATCTGAGTTTAAATCCACTAAAGTCGTCACTGTGAACAAATAAAACCATCTGAATATTTTAACTGGGATCTTTAAAGCCTTACGGAGTAAGCATGCTCCTCCTTGGCTGGAAGGCCAAGATACCTTTCTGAAAAGGCAGCGCCTAAAAGAAAAACAGAGGATAAAAAATATGTTTAATTTACCGACTGCATCTAAGTTTTAAAAAYACATTCATGGCATCTGTATGCAAGTATTTACTGGCATGATTTTAACTCACTATAAAGCCTGAAATCAATTATCGGTGCCACAGCAGTCGCACATTGAAAGAGCTTATTTGTCGCAGCCAACATTTTGAGAGACAAGTAACCACCAAATGCCTGTCATGAGGAAGAAAAAGGTTTAAAGGTGCCACAGCTTAAAGAGGTGGTTCATTCAAAAGTGTTATAGTGTTAAAAACAGTTAATGTCTTACCTGTTGTAAATAGCTGTTTGAATGACCTCAGTTTGAAGAAATAAAGTTTAATTAGATTAATGAGCTAACAATGACGAGTCCTAAAACAACTCCAACTTATTTTTTTATCCTCCAACCAACATTGTTTTATAAAAYGTCACATGGTCATCACTTTCTAATGACATGATGCAAAATACAGCAGACAAATTCCTGCCCATGGTGCTCCAGGTTGCATCAGATCCACATAGCAGACATGTGTGGGCCACAAGCTGGCACCGCTAACTGACTGCTGACATAACAAATGGTTTGTCAACCACCTGTGGGCCAGGTCTGGCAATGATGGCACTGTTTTTAAAATAATGTGCTACTACTGGCCCAGTTGTGATTTGGTTTATGTGGTGCTGGCCCATTCGTGGACCACCTCTGGCAAACTACACCTGGTCCAACAAAGATCCAGCTTTCTTTGTACTGTAGTATCTGTGCCAAGTGTTAGTGGATTGTGGGCCAGAACTGGGCCAGACAAATTTTGATAGTTCTGGCTTTTCTCATATTTCAGCTACAGAGAATAAATAAACACTGCTGTCGACCAACAGACAAGGGCAAACACAGCTGCTAATTCWGGTAACTAARGCTGTCTGCTTCACAGTAATACGTTTTGTGTTTATGATTGATGTCATGTTGAACAGTAAATTCTGTCTAAGTGTCTGTCAGTGCATATCGCTCATAGGTTTTGTATGGCAACCATTTTTGTTGAGAATGTTTTCTTTATAAAAAAAAAGTCTATTTATTTATTTACCATTATTTTACTAGGCAAGTCCCGTTGAGATGCTCAGATCTCTTTTTCAAGGGAGGCCTGGGCCTGAAGGCAACCTATTGTACATGTTTTGGGGGGGGTGGGGACCGGAGTACCCAGAGAAAACCCACGCAAGCATGAGGAGAACATGCAAACTCTGCACAGAAAGACCCCAGGTCCGAACCGGGGATCACACCCAGGACCTTCTTGCTGTGGGGCGTCGGTGCTAACCACTGAGCCATCGTGCTGCCATTAAAATAGGTGAGAAGCCTAGGCATGCTACTCGCTAGCCTCTCCAATGCTAACACCAGCTTATCCATGCTACTTGCTAGCCTCTCCAATGCTAACACCAGCTTATCCATGCTACTTGCTAGCCTCTCCAATGCTAACACCAGCTTATCCATGCTAGTCAGTAGCCTCTCCAATACCAATGCCAGCTTATCCATGCTACTCACTAGCCTCTCCGATGCTACCACAAATGAATAGTCTCCTTTTCATTTGCCACTCTGGCCTCTCAGTTATCGGTGTCGACCTATCACTAATCAGATCAATAGCTGGCTTAGGAATAGATTTAGCCTCCTGCTACAAGGATGTAGCAACCGCTGGTTGTGCAATAGTCTTAATTTTGGCCCTACCACCATGCCATAGAAAAGAACCTTAGAATATTATGTAACTATGTAATGCAAAGTCAAAAACCATATGCAAGTTTTAATAGAGTTTTCGTGATTTGTTATGACAAATTGTGAGACTGGAGTTTTAGGATGGCAGCAAACCTTTGTGGATGTGATCCCACTGTGACTAGCTGTTAGYTCAGTTTGCATCAATAACTAATTATATTTCCCCAAACTAAAGCTGTTCAAAGAGYTATCTACAACAYTTAAAAGTTCATAAMCTTCCAACAGATCCTCATTTCCAAAGGACAGTACAACTGGTATAGTTTTTAAAACTACTGTAACCTTTCCATAGAGAGCTATCCGTCGATCATCGATGTAAGGCAGCCGCATCAACAACCTGAGGAGTGACAGATGTTTAGTTACACACACTTAATAGATATAGCAATACATTGCTGTATGATTGTACTGACTCTACAACTTTGAGATAATCTTTGACTCGAAGTGAGCCCAGCTTCCKTGGGTCAACAGCAACAGTTTTCTGTCCACGCCCGACCCCGCTCCTGCCGTCCACCCAAGCCAAGGCCACATTGTGCGTACTGCAGAGGACCTGAGGCCAGTCCAGGGCGAATTCCTCCGTCACAGACTGACTCCCGGGAGTGCTGTCCCTGACCATCACCACAAACGGGATAGAAGAGTGTGAGGATAGAAGCAAGGCTCAAAAGGACTTGTGAATACTTGTGAATCTGGTTTTTGCTAAACATGTGACTGTAACAGATTATTTTTTCAGTCCTTTTGTCTGGCTGTTCAGAGACACTTACACCATGATGAGGAGAGGGAGTAGGTTGGCCTCGTAGCCCTGAGGTAGAGACAGCTTCAGGTGCAGATCTGTTGAAAGACACATTTGAGGCCGACATTCTCGCTTTTCAAGTCTGACATTCCTTCTGCTAATATCATCTAAGTCAGGGGTGCCCAAACATTTTTCCTGAGAGGGCCAAAATTAAAAAACATTTTCCCTGAAAGGGCCAAAATTCAAATCAGTCTGAGGGCCACGGGCCAAATGCTAAAATATATGAAACACAAAGTAAAGTTGTTTTATTTTGTAGGATTATGTTAGCAGCCAGTGTGGTTGCCCACGTTTTTTTTTTTTTTTTTTTTTTCAGCCCATGGACRTGGAGAAAATTCAACGTATCCTCAGGCAGCAAAGGCTCATGGGACTTTTCACATTTAAAATTTTAGTATAAGGTGTGCAAATCTAGATATGAGCTTAAATCTAATCTAAATGTCTCAATCTAATACAACTGCTGTTGGGCCAAATCAAATGGCTTGGCGGGCCAATTTTGGCCCGCGGGCCCCACTTTGGGCACCTCTGATCTAAGTTTTAGAGAAAACACTGCTGATAATCTCAGGACACTACTCGGTCTCAACCATGACAGCATAAAAAAAATCCAGCCTCCTGATCTGTTGTACCATAGTTGTCTGCTTGGACCATCCTGAACAGAGTCTCAGGGAGCTTCTTTTCATCAAGTGCTTTAGACAGAGGGCTGTTATCCTCCAAGATGACATATCCTGTATAAGATAYATCCAGGAAACAGCACGGTGTTAGGCTTTATTTACAACATTAAGACAGACAGGTTTAAACTCTCATCACTGCCATGCTGATTGTTCTTAAGAGCCACAGATAGATGGCAGTGTTGATGTAAATAAACCACATCCTGAGCCTGACTCTAAACATCGCTCTCTGCAGCCTGCATGGTGGAAATGCCATCAGTTTGAGTGTATACCCATGGATTAAAACAGAACTAAAATATGCAGATGTAACACTCACTGGAGGGGTCCTTTGTATTGTGAACCGTCACTTTAGGGATCCCCGGGCCTGGAGCAAACGTTCAAAAGAGAACACTATAAAAATGAGCGAGCAGTGTGAAACCTGTTAAACCACACGACGGTTGAAGTGATTTACCCAAACAGTAGAGGGTGAAGTGAGTTTGATTGGGGCTGAAAGCAGCTTTAAAGAAACCACATCCATCAATGAGGTTACATGAGATGCACTGGCGCTGAAACACTCCTTTCAGGTCCACACTTGGGAATAAAAAAGAAGAAAGGTTATTAAACAGTCTAAGTAGTTTGATTCACTCTAATATAATTAAAATGACTGCTACAAWATATTAAGTATTTGAATGAAAACATTTTAGGCTGTCAGCTGGGGTTAGGCTAGTGCTGAAAGTTTTTATTCTTGACCGTTTGTTTTTCTGTCCCTCTCAAGTCCACTAAAGGCAAAACTTAAACATATTTAATCTTCTGCCATGTTTGCCAGCYATCTATGAAAATGAACCACTTCTTAAAGGGCCTGTGACATGCTTATCCTTCAAATACAAAAAGTCAAAGAAAACATTTATATTTAAGAAAATTAGCATAATACACATGATTTTACTCATTTTGTCTCATAACTGGCATATTTTCTCTTGAATTTGGCTCAAAAAAGTGAAACAGGAAGTGACATCAAAGGGGAACTCTTTAAGAAAAGAAACTCTCAAGTCTTTGTTTATTGAAAAAAATCTTATTTAAACTCTTTCTCAGCTCTGATAGTGACTCAAAATAATCTAAATAAACATCAGATTCTTCTCTAGTTATTGTAGCATCACTCTGTTTACATGCAGACATTCCCCKTTGACATCACTTCCTGTTACTTCACATGCAAATATCTCAACAACTKTTCATCTCAACTGCRTGAAATCYGTTTTGCAATATGTTATCAGTGTTCTCTTTTYAMAAACACATTCACATTTATTACAAAAATATTATGTCACAGGCACTTTAAAGTCTGACGAGACAAGCGTCAGGGAGTGTTTGTCTCTTAGCAAAACATCTCATGAACCAGTGGGCAACTCTTAATWAAACTCTCAGAAAGTAACTGGATGTTCCTCTGCAACTGATCAACTTTTGGAGTCAACCTGATTCAACATGGTTGCTATAGCTAATCAATTAGCAAACAAATAAATAGATATAAGTCAGTGAACTCTACGTCTTGAATTTAAAGTTGGCGTGGTAGTAGCAGAAAGATACTCCACAGCAAGTACAGTATTTTTAGTATTAACAAAGTCAGCGAGGTCTTTCCTTAAAACTTTTATATTAACTGCTGAGGTAAACCACGTCTGTTTGYTRGCAAAATATTTCATGAACCGCTGAGCRGACTTTGATTAAATGCTCAGAAAGTWATCATTGAGTGTACATCTACAACAGACTACCCTATGAAGTCAACCTGATTCAAGATGGCCGCCACATCTAATCAACCTTGTCAAAAATAAATGTAGCAATAACTGTCTTTCATCCCCAACACCAACACATGAAATATTAATTCCTTCATAATCTATACAACATTACMTATTCTTACTTTACTAAAAGTTAAGATTTGTAGGTTTTCAGGTAATTTAGATTTTATAATGTAATCATGTTAAAGGTTTGATGYACTTTATACTAACTTGGTGTTCAACGAAAAGCTAACTTGGAACAGCTAGTTGTGTCGGATCATTCCACCTTAACTGACCATGAGGACAGGTTTTTCTAGTGTGTCTGTATTTCCCTGTGTGCCTGCCTCTGTGTCACCCCCCCCCCACCCCCCAGGCACACTTGATCCTCATGTTTCCTCCCCAGGTGTTTCCAATCAGTCCCTTGTTTAAGTCAGTATCAGTTTGTATCAGTATCAGTATCCATCCATCCATCCATCCATCCATCCATCCATCCATCCATCCATCCATCCATCCATCCATCCATCCATCCATCCATCCATCCATCCATC